TTTTTATAATATGTATCTTTATTTATTTAATAAAAAAAATATATATATATTCTATGTCCCCCCTCCCTTCTTACCTTTATTGAGGAGGAGGGGGGACATATTTTCATCCCTGGTGGTCCCAGTGGTGATTCCCTGGTGGTCCCAGTGGTTGGAGTGAACTCTAGCCCGCGCTCCCGGGCTAGAGTTCACTCTCGCGAGATTTGGAGCGTTGTCGTGGTAACCGCGGCAACGCTCCAAATCTCGCGAGAGGAGGATCCGGAGGAGCTGCAGACTGAGCTCCCGGGTCCTCCCTCTCCCTCCCCTGCCGGCTGCCAGCACAGTGCCTGCGGACCGGGGAGGGAGAGCTCTGATCTCCCCTCCGGTCCACAGGCACATTGCAGGGCTAGCGCCTGCATGTGCTGGCAGGGGAGGGAGACCGGCTGATTTCTCGGGGGGGGCAATTGCCCCGTTGCCCCCCCCCTGGATCCGCCAGTGAATTGCAAACACCTCACCTTCTCACGTGTATCGTGCGGATTGTCCACACTTAATCATAAACATTCCACATGTCAGAAAAATGTTGACAAATGTCTGTATTTATTAATATTGCCTTCTTTTTTTCTTACATATGCCGATGAAGTTGTTGTCATTTTTTTTTTTTATTGAAGCAAGGTATTTAGATTTATTTTCTGATTTAGTCTGGAAATCAAAGGGTTAAATTAAGTTGTCATTTGCCATTATTCCAAACGGGAGTGGTATATTTCCTATTTAGGTATGACATTTTCAGTATATCAGCGTCATTGATTTTGATAAAGTATTTTTGGTAAAAACTAAACATGTTGATAAACCTTGATGTGTTGTACTAGACTATTGGGATTATGATGAATATGAGTTTAATGCATATTGAGTAAATGAATTACTATTTTAACATTAACCTTGAATGACCTGTCTATTGGTATTCGCCTGGAGGTATATAGTTTTATTTATGAATGTTCAGGTAAGGGTTATGTTCTGCTTATTACTTCAATGGCCAGATCATGTTTTTCAGATTATGTACTGTACACTTTGTAACATCATCTAAGCATTATTCTCTGTAATGCGGCTTGAATGACACAATTAGGTGTGAAATAGTCATTGAAAGTGCAGGTCAAGAAGGGTCATGAGGTGAGGCACAAAAAGGCCTGTATTGAATACTAATTGCAGTGTTCGAGCCCTAATTTCATGGATTACAAAGCAGAAATAATGCAATGCCCTTTCCCCAGCTTTTCTGCTCACATATCAATGAGTGTTCAGAACTCAGTGATATGTTTAAAGGCACCTATCTTAGATGAAATAGTGTACTTGGTAAATCACAATGGCCTACCATGTTGAGCTGTCGAGCCTTTTACGACCTCAATTTACTCATATACGGCAGGCCGTAACTGTAATTCTAATACAGGAAGATTAATTCTAGAGATTTTTGCTTGATTTTGCAATCTTGTCATTTACAATTTCATTTTTTTATTTATTATTATTTTTTTTATATATAATACAAAACATTACAATACAATACAATTACACAATACATAAAATATTATACCTTGGAGAAATTAATCTAGTCTTAGAGTTTAAATTTAAAATTTAAATTGATTTTTTCCATCTTTATTACTTAAAAGACAATGACAACACTAACGCTAATAACAAATTCATACTACCATTCACTCCAGGGGAGTTTAATCTGTGATATAACTATTCACTTTTTTTCCTAATATATCTAGGATTAGATTCTGTTTTCTATCCCACTCCGACCATCTTTCTTTAAAAAATTTTTAGGATTAGGCTATTGTTCTGATAAAAACCCTTTCCCATTAAATATTGATACTCTAATAGGACAAATAAATATTTAAATTCCACGTCCTCCTTCATTTTCAATTTTCTAGCTATCAAACATTTGAAGGCTGCCTTCAAAAGATGGACTACAATAAATCTTGATTCTATCTGGAAGGTACATATATCAATATGAAAAAGGGCTCTATCTGGATCTAGTTCCCATTTTTTGTTTATTAAAAAATATATTATATAAAAATTTTAATCCATTGAGTTTGGATCTTACTGCACTTACACCAAATGCACTAATGATCCTTTTTCTTCCAAACATCTCCAGCATAACCCATTTTCATTGGGAAAAAAAAATGCTTAATCTTTTTGGAGTTAAGTACCATTTAAAGATTATTTTAAAGTAAGTCACTAATAAATGTATATTGTGGATAGTTGTTTTCGTGAAATGAATTAGTCTGATCCTTATGTCCTGCTCCATATTTAAATTTAAATCTTTGATTTTTTTATGGTCAAGTATGACATGAATTCTACTCTTTCATCAGCTATAGTTGCAAGAAAAAGTATGTGAACCCTTTGGAATGATATAGATTTCTGCACAAATTGGTCATGAAATATGATCTGATCATCATCTAAGTCACAACAATAGACAATCACAGTCTGCTTAAACTAATAACACACAAAGAATGAAATGTTGCCATGTTTTTATTAAACACACCATGTAAGCATTCACAGTGCAGGTGGAAAAAGTATGTGAACCCTTGGATTTAATAACTGGTTGAACCTCCTTTGGCAGCAATAACTTCAACCAAACATTTCCTTTAGTTGCAGATCAGATGTGCACAACGGTCAGGAGTAATTCTTGACCATACCTCTTTACAGAACTGTTTCAGTTCAGCAATTCAAGAAAGCGATTCACACCAGACATCCCAAGAATATTGCTGAACTGAAACAGTTCTGTAAAGAGGTATGGTCAAGAATTACTCCTGACCGTTGTGCACATCTGATCTGCAACTACAGGAAACGTTTGGTTGAAGTTATTGCTGCCAAAGGAGGTTCAACCAGTTATTAAATCCAAGGGTTCACATACTTTTTCCACCTGCACTGTGAATGTTTACATGGTGTGTTCAAAAAAAAAAATGGCAACATTTCATTCTTTGTGTGTTATTAGTTTAAGCAGACTGTGATTGTCTATTGTTGTGACTTAGATGATGATCAGATCATATTTCATGACCAATTTGTGCAGAAATCTATATCATTCCAAAGAGTTCACATACTTTTTCTTGCAACTGTATTTCCATGATCAGTCTACCAGGTTTTTGTTTTTCCCAGGAAGATATCTTTCATTTTTGTATTTTCTTTATATTTTTGTTAGGGATATTTCTTTGCCTATAAAGTTTTTTTATCTTCATGTAGCTATAGAATTCACTTGAAGGTATATTATATATAGTTTGAATTGTTTTGAAAGATTTTGCTTTATTATTTTCGATCAACTGATGAACTTTTATAATTCCTTTTTCCTTCCAGATCTTTAGTAGAACATAGTATTTAATAACATTTATTTCAAGATAGGGTTATTTTTTTTCACCAGTTTATTTTTGAGTTCCTTTAGCAGTGATAAATAGTTTGAATCCAAAGTAAGTTTTTTTTTTTGTCAATCTTTCTTTTATTGAGGCAATAAAACCCACTTCTTGTTCCTGTGTGTCCAACTTGAATGGTTACAACTACATGTCTGTTTGTCCACCCATTGTAAAGCGCTGCCGAATTTGATGGCGCTCTATAAATATCATAATAATAATAATTGTGAGGACGGTATAGAAAGAAGAAGAGGGAGTATTATCGAGTAAACAGACATCACATTTGTGACCATAATGTACAATCATAAACTCCAGCAGGCTCCAACCTCATTTTATAATAATAATAGGAAATGGAAAACATGCTAGTTATCTACTGAGCGAGAAATATTAAATGTCGGTGAGCAATACTGTTAAACACAATAATAAGTTTTTAGGTGTGTTGTATTTCACAGCCTAAAGATTCTTGTCTTGCTTAGGCACTGTAGCATATCCCTGGCAAGGTTAACAGACTAGTCTATGAATTAGTAAAATTAAGGCAGGGTTAACCTAGTGCATGTTATATGTCGCAATGAGTTTACATTAGCGAGATTAGGCAAGCTATTCATGAGTGTGCTACCAGAATATGCATATGCAGAAATTAGGGTATTTCAGGCTATATATACGTATAAGTATAATTATCACTTAGATATTAACAGTATTAGAGTAGTTCAATAGACTGATATCCACCCTATGGCACACATGTCACCCTGTGCTTGGTTGCTGCATTTGTGGGGACTCCGAAAGAAAATCAAAACAAACTTACATACATTGAAAACATCGAAAGATGTGTTAACTAAGGCATTAGGTAGAGTCATTGGATACCAGGCATCCCGCAGGTTGGCAGATAAGTCCGAAAATCCAGTAGGTGCGGATAGCCTAAAAGACAGAGTCCGCTTGAGTAGGTAGAGAGTCACGTAACAGTAATGGCTCAGTTGTCGCATGATGTCATTCTGGTCACAACACTGGATCTTATTCGGGGACACAGTTCATGAACCGCTGTGTCAGCCAATACCCTCACTGGGCATCGATATTTCTGTTGCTTGGTAATTCCGGAGGGTGAAGGTGAGCTGCGAGAAAGGAGCGGCCCCTCCCCAGCCCCAGGCCTCCGGTAGGGTCTGCATCTGTGTGCCACAGACTCTGGTTCCCGTTGAGGCTGGGTCTTTCCCTTCAGGGGTGCCACGGAAGACCCCAGTGTTCTGCCGCCGCCAGCAGTGGCCGGTCTTCCTGCGTAGTGGCCGATGCTTCGGGGGAATCTTCCTTGCAACCCTCAGCCCGGGTGGGCGTTTGGTGTGCTTTTTGCGTATGAGGGGGTTTGCTTTACCTGGGATAGGCTTACTCCATCTCCGCACCCTTGTCCCCTGTGGCTTCTCTCCGAGGGTAGGGGAAGGCCCAGAGAGGAGCTTCTCTAGCTGGTTCCAGAAGTGTTGAAAAATCAAATCGAGGCTTGCAGTCGGTGACTGCGTGTGTGCTGGTGTCGGTATTCGGGCAGCGCCCGCCATATTGCTGTGCCTGGCATGTCCGGATCCCGTGCTGTAATGGGCAGGTCTAGTCACAAGTGCTGTGCATGCCAAGTTGGTGGGGACTGGGATAACCCCTGCGGGTCCATAGGGAGGGGGGGAAAGGTGTCTCACGCTTTGCCTTGCAGTGTGTTTGGACTGCCCCTGCCATGCTTCCAGACCGCAGTGTCTGGGCTGTCAGAACCGTTGCAAAAGTCTACTTGTGTGGTATCATCCTGTCGGGTTCGGTATCCCAGATCTCTTGTCAGCTAAAACAAGTCGTGTCACAGCCTCTGCTTAGGGTAAATCGGCTCGATATGCGGTGAGAAGCAAGAGCAGCAGTAGCATGTGTTTGCTCTGCTCTGCTCTGCAGTCAGGCCCTACCCCCTAGCCAGTGTAATTTATATTTCTCTTTCAAATTAGTTATTTCTTCAGTCCTCAAATTCAAAGCTAAAGATAGGGATTTATTTATATTAAGACTATAATAAGATATATGCAAATA